GGCTGTTTACACCTGAAGTTACATTTAACATTGGATGAGTGATCAAAACTATATTCTCTAACTAAACACAGCATTCTGATGCATACAAAGAAACAAACTTCATGGTTCAAATGGGATAGATTCCTGAACTAAAAGCCCTTGGACTCGCTTGCTAGAAACTCTAAAGAAATCACGTTGGCATATTGCACTGAAGACCGAAGCAACAAAATGCTAGTTTAGTAACCTGGTGAGGTGGGCTCTATGAGTGATAAGAGCACAGCAAAGTTCTATGTGCAAAGAATAACGATTAGGTGGTAGGTATGGACAAGGCAGAACTGGAGAAGTAAGTTGGACCTGTTCTTGAGCCGTGAAAATAGATGATCGGCATGTAAGAGATCATATGATCTTGGATATGTACCAAAGGACTCGCACCAGTCATGATAGACACCAATTAGCCCACGTTCGTATAGGATAGGAAGTGTGTCTGGTGCATGGACGGGAACCACATTCATCACCCATACCTTGTGTTGTGCAAGAGCAGCAGCAAATCTGAATTTCCAGATGAAGATTACTGCAACTTTTTAATAAAAAGTTTTAAACTGTTTACGCAAGTAGAAAGTGCTGGTAGAATTTATGTAAGGGCTTTAACCACATCACCTCGTGAATTGTTTAAACAAGAGACTGCAACTTTCAAAAAGAAATTGAAATTGTTCAGTTAGCATACCCTCCATTGATGGCTTTCATGTCCATAATGTTCCGGATATTTGACCAGTCAATTCCCATTCCCGTGAGATAAGACTTCTCAACAATAGCTTTCCAGTGGTTGGTATCAGCAATCAGCTTTTCTTTATTGTTCATCCAGTCAGGATAAGTTTCAAGCCTCTTAGGCCATTCCTCAGGCCACTCTGTGCCGTGTTGTTCGATTGCAGATGGAACAGGGTGTAAGCAAGTCTTCATAGGAACATACCTGAAAAAGGAAGTTGCAGTCACCAAGTTAAAGGGCACTGGAGTTTGATAACATGGGACAGGAATTGAAGTTTCATCCTCTTAAGGAACATGAATATTGATATTACAGTCATACTAAAACATGAAGATACATCATCAAAACAAAATAGCCTAGGCTTACCAGGCTGCATCAGGATTTTCATTTTCCTTGCACAGAGGTGGATTTTTCCGTCTCCTCAAACCATATATATGATTTGACTCGGGCTTTTGATATATTTTGACACCCACTTCACCAACTTCATCAGTTTTATGAGCCAGAATGTTCCAACAGACAGATGCTGTCAATTTGGTCATAGCTGGAAGGAAAAGAATTGTATGATGGAAGTAAATAAGCTTCGATGACTAATGCAGCAAGCAACAGAATAAATGTTTCACACATGTGACAATAAAACAATGAAAGAAAATATGGGCAAATGACTGCTTCTCCAGGTAACAGAAAGCAAGCAACTGGTTTGACTGCATCCTGAAGTCTAACCAAAAACCCGACTCAATTTTGGAAGTTATATGTAGGAAAAATTGGTTGATAAAGTTTCTGAATCTGCAATGGTCGCAGCCTTTTTGTGATACATTTCTGCACATGCTACATCAACTGCCTATGAGGAAAATATACCTTAAGATACTAAGTAGACCAGTTCACCTGTTTGATGGCCCAAAAGTAAAATATACCTCAATAAACTCATTGACTAGAGGGATGATACAAATAAAAGTATTAAACTTCTTTGACAGTTTGATTTGCTCCGCATCATGGTAGACAAAGAAAGTTTTGAAAGCATATGGGATCAAACCTTCTTCCTCTTCAATATTGTCATGTTTAGTCGACAAAATAAAGTATCCACCAGGTCTTAAAATCCTATTCATCTCAAGGAGAAGTTTGCCCCCTGAAAATTGGAAAAAGCACCATGATGTTAACAGCAAAATTAAAAGAGGAGAGAAGAAACAGGAAAAAAGAAATCAAGGTCTAAGGAAAGGAAAATAATGCAAGAAGTGAAAAAAAGGGATAAGAAATTGCAAACCATTGGAATGCCAAGGAATGCTGCACCCACTACAGTGAATAGCATCAAAAACACCACTAGGGAAATGAAGCCTTCTACTCCCAAAAGGGCTGACTATTGTAGGAAAACCCCGCTCGAGGGCAACCTGAGCAAGGTCAACTAGATCATCCTTCAGCCCAAGTGATAATGTTAACACCTCCTTATCAAAGAGAGATGCTGCGAAGCTTGAATCTGTACATCCAATATCCAACACTACACGAATATTCTTTCCCCACTCAATGTCAGGCACCATCTATCAAAACCAAATCCATAATAGAGATTAGCTGGCTAGTTGCAACTTAAGAGACATGCGTACTGGTGCTGCTCAGCTGCAAACAGAAAATAAAAAATAAAAAAATCTCACCTCTTCAATGGAGTCGAGGTAATGCTGAACTCCACCCTTGAATTCAGACTGGTTTTGAGGAAAGGTAAGATATTCTCCAGACTGCACCAGCCAACTATTTTTCTTAATAAAGGCAGCAAGTTTTGGATGTGCCACATTGCTATACAATACCTGCAAACAAATAACAGAAACAAGCACATGAGAACATCAAGCAGACCTTATCCTTCCGCTTTCTAAAATTCAAAGAGGAAACAGAACCCGTTCATATACCTTCAATTTGCTTTCAGGCCAATGGACCGGGGTTCCATAACCCTCATGAGGGAGTGGAACAAGACACATTGGAGGTGTTTTCGGGCAACTTCTCTCAGTATGCCTATAACTTTGCAACCTTCCAGTGCCACTCTCAATGTCAATGCAAGGCATATAATTATGCTTGCTTCTTGTACTACATAACCTCCAACTGTAATGTGCGTTTGGATCAAACACAGGACCCTTTATTTTCCTCTTCTTCCCTGTGCTTTTCGATCCAGCACTCTCATGTTCCACTTCCTCCACAGATTCTTGATCAGCGTTTTGAATCAAATCACCATCTCCTTGAATATCACCATTCCCTTCAGTATTTTCACCATCATTCGCCTCTTTCTTACCATCCACCACTTCACCTTCCTCCTCTTCCTTTTCTGATTCTTCATCCCCTGATTCCTCTTGCCCTTGATTATCTTTCTCCTCCTCATTAGGCAACTTCTTAGTACCATCATCTTTCTCTTTTCTCTCAAGTGAAGCTTCTTCCTTTTTATACTTTCTCCTAGATTCATGCTCATTAACAACCAAAGAAACAGACCCATTAATCTTTTTCTCATCTTTCTTCAAATCCAAATCAGATTCACCATTTTGCTTCTCATTTACTCTACTTGGTTCATGTTTTTCTTTCTCTCTCTCTTTAGACGGAGAATGAGGTCTGCTTACCCTGGTGTTTCCCGCAACTGGTTCAGCAATATCATCAAAGCTCGCCCTTTGAGTGGTTGCTGAGGTTGAAGAAGACGAAAACACAGACCAAACGAATATAAAGCAAAACCCCATTATCGCCACTGCCGTCATCTTTACACAAAACCCATGTGGCCTTTTTGCCTGACGAGCAAGCCTAGCTATGGTCATCTCTGCACTGCCCCTGTAGCTAGCTAGCAGCTGCTATGGCTTGTTAAGTACAGAAGAAAATCTAACACCGAAGCATGAAAAGGGGAAAAAATTGAAGGACTTAAAAGAGGGGTCTGTTCCCAGTAGAAGTCATGGTGTCGAATCTGTGGGGATTGGATTTGTAGAGAGGATCTAAATTCTAAAATTAGATGATTAGTCACAACAAGTTGAAAATTAAAGAAAAATTAAAAAAATGATTAATCTTCTAAACTAAGCAAGTTTGAAGTGGATAGATAGCTTAGTAAAGAGTTAATGATGAGGTTTAACTAGATATATCTATTATAAGGATTTATTTATTTCAACAAATTAAGGATTTGATCAAATTGCATATAAGCTATTAATCAATTCAATTTAAAACCAATTCAAACTAGATTATGAACAAATCATATAGTATAAAAACATGGATTTGAACTGCTATTATTTATTAAAAAATACCTAATAAAAAGTTTTCTCTCCCTAATTCAAAATAAAAAATATTATATCCAAGTATTTTTTTTAAATGATTTTAATAATGCATTATATTTAAAAAATATTAATTTTAAATTTTAAATCCTATAAATAAATAAAAACACAACTCCTTATTCATTAAATCACATTCTTGAAATTAATAAATTTGGAAGAGTTTGAATTACATTTTTAAAATATAAACAAAAAAACTTAATTAATTGGATTAAATCTAAGTTAATATAATAGCTTAATTAATTTGAAGCTCACCTGGTCAAAATATGATACTATCCGATTAACTCTTGGAGTGAATTTTAAAAAAACTATGGTCTGTATTGGTGTATAAAAGCAAACTATATATATTAATATTAATATAGTTTGTTTTTGTGTTTTAAAAATATTTTTAAAAAAATTTAAATTTTTTTTATTTGAAATTAATTTTTTTATTTTTAAATTATTTTAATATGTCAATATAAAAATAATTTTTTAAAAATAAAAATATTATTTTAATATATTTAATAAAAATAATTTAAAAAATAACTAAAATAATTAGTACATTGAAGGAGACAATGCCGTTAACAACAAGGAAGAACTCTCGCAAATAAAAACGGGGGAAGACAACGTATGGAGAGGGGCAGAGTCTCCTAGGAGAATCAGGTGGCATGTGTTAAGGTCAGAATCAGATGGATAAGTATATCTGTAAAAAAAATGCAGACAGCGGTGTCAAAGGAAACCATACAGCCAGCTGTCTCACCTGCTACTCTGACTTTTTCCTTATTGGCTGCTGCCTGGTTGTAAACGCACTCACAAACAAACGCGTCACAAAAGCCCAAACTAGCATATGATGGCATATGGAGACAATGTTTTGGTAGGTGCTTCAAACGCACTAGCATATGATGGGTTGACCAGTGGCTCAGCCCAGGATTGCAAGCTTGGAGGTTCATCCAGCCCAGTTGAGTTAAATTGTATTTGCCAGAATTTGGAGATGCACATTAAATTCCGAATTCTTTGAAAACTAGAGACAATGTTTTGGTAGATGTTTCTTACATTACTTTCTGATCTCGAGCACAAGAATCCTGTTATGCAATAAAGCTCATGGAACAAGGAGCAGCTGTGCAAATGTATCTTTGTGGTTGCTTACAGCAGGTCGACCTCTGATGTCTTCCAAGGTAGGTAGTTGATCCCTAAATATATCCTTGGATCTTGATTGATCTCTGTTCTGATGTTAATATATCAACGAAGACAACTACAAATCTCTAGGTGGTCGTGGTTGGTGAGCTGGTTAAGGAAGCGCCACTCGAGATGGAAAGGGTTGGTGTTGGACCTGTGGACACCAGAGATGTTGGGGATGCGGTGCCTGTGACAGTGGCGTCGTTGGCGGAGGCTCTGCCGTTGGCTGGGGAGCCTTGTTTTGAGACGCATGCATATTGATCTTGATCCTGCATCCCGAAAACGTAAAGAGTAGTCATCTTTGGATTTCATGTGGGATATTGCTACTTGGTTGATGACTCCATCGTGACTAAAGGATAGTGCAGTGAATCAAGAAATCAAGACATTCCTTCAATTTGCTCGAAACAAAATGGATGATGCCAAAGGTGTTCCAATTCATCTTTTACAAACCGATCTAAAATGAGATAAAGAGCCTTCGTCCTGTCAGAGGGAGAAATTCCTTTACTCCGCAGATTTCATATATGGATGCAACGGAAGCAAGTAAAAGGAGAGAAACTCGATCACCTCAACTGTTGTGGATATTGACATACTCATCAGTTTCACCCAATATCCCCTCTTGACACAAGAAAACGTTTGCAGATTGAGATTGTCATGATAAAGTTGAAGACCTATTTAGCAGCCTCAGCTTCCTGGGGAATGATAATTTCATATAAGCAGTTTCAGTTACTTGTGTCAGATATTTGAAAGTACAACTATATGCAACAGTCTCAAATTTTGCTTATGGACGTTGTCTCTGCATTGTTCAGTAGAGTCTGGAAGTAGCTTGTCATAGGCGATGAAATTCCACTGTGAGGATCACTATCATCTCATAAATACAAGGAAGATTTGTACAAGGATCCGTAAACAGGGGGCTTGGCATTGGCGGGTCCAAATCCCCTGAAGTTTGATCACAGTTCTCGTCTGGCCATAATATGCCATCAAATAGCAATTGAATCTGCGCCTAGAGTTCTTTGATGACATCCTCCACTGTAATTATACCAACAACTTCTTCATTTGATGGGAACTCTGGAATAGGAGACTCCTCAATGTCCAAAATGCAAAACGAACGAACTTTGTGTCGCTTCTTGAAGGCAGGAGTAGATGGTGGACTCTTCTTAATCTGCTGACCTACATCATTCGTAGCAGAAGACTGATTATCATGTGAATCCAAAGCAGCGTTCTTATTGGATAGCAGAAGTAGAGCCAACCACACTATTATCTGGCAGTTATCAATCATAAGGTTATTTCAATGAAACAAACCAGGCATCCTATAGAAGTGAGGGATGATTAATTCATCATGAAGCATGAATCGTCATAGAATCAAGTGAAGCAGTACATGAGGTATTATCAGTGGTAAATGACAAGTTTTCATCAATAAAAAAAGGAAGGGAAGATATTGCTGTTAAAGAGGTATAAATCATTGACAGCCGCCTTCTCTCGTAGTTTCCTAGCTCTCACCTTTCCTTTGAGATTTTTCAGTTTTGCCTCTCTCCCTACAGCTGTCCTTAAATTCATTCTTTTGTGTCTCTTTATCTGCATTCAAATCTTCATATACAGCAGCAATGTGGCTGTGACCCTCCTGAAATTCATTTAAGATGTCATGTAGGGCATGTCTTCCGAAACCCTGTAAAATGAACAAAGAGCAAGAAAAGAGTAAGGTAAGCTCCTTGATACGAGCAAGCAATACACAACTACACAAATAGGTTCATTCAATCAAATGACACCAGGCTGTGGTTGCATTTCATGTCCCGACTCCCATACCATATCCTGTGTGCTGAATCAGACACAATCATTGTTTTCTCACTGGATAAGATAAACATAGAAAACAAGGAGTAGGCATACCGTGGAATTTTCCTTGTGATCATCTTTCTCGGAGGAACTGCGTTGTGAAGTGTAAACCCCCCCCCCCCCC